AGGAAACTCACTTTTTTTCTTCTTAATGAATCCAAACCATTTATAGAGATGTGTTAAAGCTACCCATGCTTTCACAGCTGAAGTAAGCATATTTACATTCATTCAAAATCTAAGTGTTCTCTTATTTTTCACTTCAGGTAACACAGCTTAAGCCCTTTTCCTACGCATAAGGAATCGAGTTTTATCAGAGGAAGCTTATTACCTAGCACACAGTACAAAAGCAGCTAAGTCCTCAATCAAAATAAGCATCCCATACAATATAAGGTATTCCAACACATTGGCAAGCTCGATTCTTTTTCATTTCATGAAAGTTAAAGTGAAACTATAAGGTTTAATAAGTCAATTCACAAATGGGCAACATAAAATGTGAGACAACTTGACTTTTCAAATAAAGAAGGAATACCATTCATTCCAAATCCATATCCCCATTAAAAAAAATGACGGCAATAAGGCTTTCTTATAGAACGTGAAAAAACAAAAAGAAAGAAATGCTTGGGCTATCGAGGTATCCAACCCAACCCATGGCCAAATGGGTCTTGTGTGTTATATCCATCCCTTTTCTCTTTCTCTCCATCAAGAGCTTTCTGGGAGAGTACAACTCTCAGCCACAGAAGAGAGAGTCTTAAACAAGACATCACCAGGCACGTTATCATTGTCCCCTTCCTCTAGCAACAAATACACAAGAGAGAGAATACAATAAAAGGTCCTTGAGTAAACGTGGAGAGGCCCTTGATTTCATCTACTACTTGAAAGCAAAAGCCCTCTGTCAAGTAAATGCGTTTGCTCTTCTGGAACTCAGGTGTACTTTTTTGAAAATCATTTCTATTTTAAGTGGGTCACCATTCTGGCCCTTCTTTAAGTACCCTTCACCCCCCCATTCTGTTCTGGAATAGAGATCTCTGTGAACCGCACGCACCATGGCCCTGTCGCCTGTCTTCTGTGTGAGCTTGACCCGTGGGAAACACAAACACAAGAGCAAAAGCAGCAGGAGAGAGACGTCAGTTGGGGGGGTTTCTTCCCATCTCCCCCCAGCTTCAATGCTGTGTCTCTGACACTGGCTGGGTCTCCCCGTGATTACAGACTGCGTTTGGGCTCCTTTCCGCTCTACCACAGGGTGGTAACGGCGCCCCCGTCACTAGCCCCTGTGTTCCTCAGCATCTTCTCACGCCTACAACCTGCTAACATTTCTACTAAGGGGCCCTTCGTCAAGGGAGCTACTCGAAGCATCCAGGTGATTCTGCTAAAGCCGATGCTCTGCTTAGCTATGCTTCACATACAGACCATCATTTTGTAAGGCGATGCATTTGCAAGTCCATACAATTTTGACTTATTTCTGTCAAAAGCTGATTGGATAATGTTCAATAAAATACAAAAGGCCCTCAAAGAATGAATGAAATCACTTTGTAATGAACAAAAAATCGTATCATTCTGGTTAAATATAAACAGAAACAAGGAGTCTGGAAAGGCCAGAGGAAGATGGTGGAAAGTTGATGGAGCAACGGTAGGAAATCGTTTGGCAATGTAGCTTTAGTCAAAGAAGGGGGGGAAAGCTAAATCATATCATAAATAAAACACACACACCGAAAAAAATGATTTTAAGACAAGGAGGCCAGAAGACTAGGGTTCGGGGGAGCATATATTCTAACATGTCTGTTGTCATTTTCCAATTCAGCCACTCACTAGTTGAAAACCTAGTGGAAAACCATTTAGGGGA